CCCCCCCCCTGAAGTAAACCTAACACAAACATTTTAATTATGACTTGGACACACTCCATATTTTACCGTGATAACATTGCAGTCTCATTTCTAAAATTTTCTCTTAAAAAATACACTGCTCGTGAATTTTAAACATCTTGGCAGATATAATTATACAGCAAAGTAGGTATTTAAACTTAAATGAATATTTCGGGGATAATTTCGCAGTGGTTTTTGTTAAATCTATAAAATCATATTTATATTCTAAGTATATAGGATGATGAGGAGGTTTTTTTCTAATTCTTGATACTTGATAGGTCAATCTTGTGGTCGACACTGTACTTTTAAAACTAAAATACATATCATTTATATATAATATTTGTTTTACCTTCTTTTGTTCTTTTTATTTATTTGTTCTTTTTATTTATATATTCTGTCACGGTGATTCTGTATAGGAAACAGAATACTTTTATTCAAGTAAAAACAAACGTCATATAAAAAGACCAGGTTTGAAATAAATCATGATAATTTAAGTAAATGTCAATTTAAAATTATAATGTTTGATAAAACTTCCGAGGTAACCTAAAATGTTATGAATATGTTAAACTATAGCTCATTAAGTGACACAAATGTAGCTCTAATGACACGAGTTACATTAAACGAAATTATCGGTAGAGAATAAAATGTCATATAAATCAGAATAGATATCCAATTATCCAATGTTTGCCATCCAAATAGTTCCAACATTGAAAAAAAAGAGTTAACACTTTTCTCGCAGAAATGGTGTCACTTTCGACATGAATATTTCAGTTGAGAATGAGGAGTATTTCACGTCTCTACTACAACAAACTTTATCTCAGTCCGTCTCTAATGATCACTGCTTTGTCCGAAATCCCTGAATGTTTTTACTCGGAGACAATTAAACTGTTTCAAAAGTGTCCCGTTAATCAATTACAAAAACACAGTAATCAAAACATTACCGGCCCGGTTGGTCGTGAACCCTGCTACGTCACAGGTCAGAGGTGACACAGGTGAATCGAAGATGTCCATTTCACGTTCTTCACGCGCGAGTGAAATGAGTTCACTGTGCCAACGGGAAACTCAGCGACTGAAAAAACAAGGTGTCAATCGGGGTTACATATACAGGCGAAAATCGTTGTTTATTTACATTTCTGATTCTCGACGAATTTGGATAACATCGTTGGAATTCTTCTACTTTAACTGTTTTTATAAGCGATCAACAAAGACACAACATGGGAAAGAGGAAGAGATGCAATGAAAACGGCGAAGAAGTTATGACCGACTTACCTCCATCAAAGCTGGCTTTTACAGGTTAGTGATCATTGTTAGCACAATATTTCAAATCATATTTATTGTTACCGTATGATGTTGTGAGTTTCATGCATTTATTGTTTTGGGTTTAATACATTTAAATCCAACAAGATAACACAACAGTAGGATTTGCATTTCATAAATCATGTCGTCTTGCTTCGATTTACAGAACATTTCCGTATTTCAACCTTACCCAAGTTTCCTCTATATATCGGAATAAAACCTCTGTGTGGTTGAAATGAACGATTTGTAACACATTAAATACTCTTATATTAAGATAATATATGTCTAATCTCGGTTTTTCTGTTTCCAAACAGATTTTTTTTTATACTAATAGTAAACATTAGCAGAGCGCCCTGTAATAGATCATTTTTTAAAGTGTTCGGGTCGGCCCAAACGCTATTTAGCTAAATATTTGCAAATAAACCTTATTTTAGTATGCTTTGAGGTAAAGTTTTATTTATTCTATTCTATGTATCTATCTTTTTTTACTAATTTTACCCCTGTGACCGTGATTTATTTCTGCTACGTTTAAACTTGTAATTTTAGCTTAATTGTGACCAAATGTTCGTTATTAAAAATCATTTGCATCATGAACAAAGTGCGTATTATATACTGATGTAAATAAACAAAATCAAAGCAATTTTGAATATGTTTTGTTCCCAAAATAGTTGTAATGTAATGTTTAAAATTCTTCATCAAATTAACTCGATGAAAATATCGCTGAGCAAAGTGAAACTATACCCGTTTCGTCAAATAATATGTCACAACAACAGTTTTAATGTGAAACTAACTTATTTGTTTTCGATATGTTCAAGTTCTTTATTACCTTGGGTCTTTTGACCCATCGGTTTCAAAAGTAAGATTTATTTACAATATCTACAGAAAATACAATACAATACAATACATGCAATACATACAATACAATACCAGCAATGTACAAACAGTATGGAGAGTGTAACAAATTAAGTTAATTGGTTTCTTCTTACATTTGCCGCATTTATATATTTGGACAAATTGACAAGTTCTATTGTGTTATTTACATTAAATAGATTTATCATTTTAAACATACTTGAGTTTTTTACATAGTACTTTTGCAAAAATTTAACACGCAAATCCGAATAACATGGACATTTCAACATAAAATGAAACTCATTTTCAACGTCATTTAAATTACATACAGTACACACTCTAAGACTACGCTCAATATTTTGATATCTACCTTTTTCTATATTTAGATTATGAGCAGATAACCTAATTTTTGTAATCTCTTTCAAATATTCTCTAGATAATGGTATTTTTTTCGACATGCATTCATAACTGAAAACAAAGCCTTTCTTCCCTGATCTGCAATTTTTTGTTGTGTTTTTCTAAATATTCCATTGTAATTTAGTAAGATTCCTAGGTAGTTAAATCCGTTTACAATTTCTAGCTGACGACCATTGTATTTCCAACATTCATTATTTCTCAAAATACTCCATTTCGAAACACAAGCATTTTTGTTTTATCCGTATTGACTGTTAGATCCCATTTTTTCGTGTACGATTCTAAAAAGTTTAACATATCTTGCATACCCTCTGGCGTTTCGGAAAAAATCACCATATCGTCTGCGTACATCAAAGGGAACAAATTCAGTATTTGAATTTCTATCGACTGACAGTTGTCAATTAAAAATTGCATTTCGCAATCATTAACATATAATGTAAACAATAATGGCGATAAAATTTCACCTTGAAACAATCCATTTTCACAATTGAAATAATTGGATAATGAACCATTATGCTTAACACAACATTTAGCACTACTATACAATGACCTTATTAGCTTTAATAATCTCCCATCAATGCCTTCTTTTATCAATTTGAACCACAAGTTTTGTCTATTGACGAAATCAAAAGCCTTTGTAAATGTAATATGTAAACAGTTTATAAATTTATGGTTCGGAGGTATGGGGACATAATCCTTCGATAATTGGAAAATACTGGAGAGGTTTTGTAATAGGTAATTTTGTGTACGTGAAAACATACCTAAATTAACGATAGAGTAAAGTCTTGGACGATTTCCATTGACTATTATAAGAAAATTAGAGTCCTTCAATATTTATGAAAAAATAAGCAAAAGAAGAGAATTGAGCCTACTATAACAGCAATGGACACAGGCAAATGCCCATATATCCAGATCAGTTGTATCGCCAGCCTCTAATCTGTCGCCCCGACAGTTAATATTATAATTTCATTATTTTCAAGTTCATGGTTGGATAACATTCTGGTTCTCCAAAGTGCTTATCAAGCCGAGCTTTAAGATACAAGACTATTCTTCTAACGCCGCATACCAGAAACATACAAACATAAGCACAGTAGAGATATTTCTACGACAAACGAATTGCATATTATCCACTTATTCCGACAGTATAACAATCCGAAGTCTAGGGTTCGAATCCCGGTCTGTTCCTGACGAATTTTACACACAGAACAAAGTTGTTAATTATATTTTGTTGATTTTATTTTTTTACTCTGTTTAGTCATAAAAGTCCATAAAGGTATGTTTTTCTTTTACAAACAAGAAATATCAAATCTATAGTCATGCCGAGAAACAGTATCCAAAGCGTAGTTACAGCTTTTGGCTATACTACGGAGATGCTTGATTATTTATTTTCCGCGTCACCCGAAATATTAACTCGTTTTTAAATTGCATGTAACTTTCAATAGCCCAGTGCAGCATACTACTTATATCTGTTAATGCGTTTGTTCTATCTTCAATACGAGTTGAATTTCTATATTTCACTGACAGGTATTTATTCCATAAAATGCAGGGAAATACTTGATATTTAAGAATCATCCTGGCTAAAATTCAGTGCTCTCGGTCCAAAACCATCTATTAACACCCAGGATATAGATAAGTAAGAAAAGGTATGCCGGGCGCTGATTTCCGGAAAGTTTTTATGAGGCGATACTGGTTGTGTGATTTCCGGTTAGGGTTTAGGTTCATAAAGTTGAACCATTTTCGTTTCTGCAGTGTATAATACTGGAGTTATCTCCCTTCCTCTAGTAAATTATCGCGACATTGAGCTTGGAATTTGACCTATGTTTCGTTTTATCCGACAACCTAGCATAATTTACTTGTTACCTACGGTCTTCAGATGATCTTAGATGTTGCGAGGACGTTAAATTCCGCACAATCTTGTGTCATAATAATAAAAAAAAAACAACCGATTACCCGCTTCCTAATTTGTATCCAATCTAATTAAAATTAGAAACATAATTCTACTCCGCTAAGATACACTTAATGTATTGGAATGTATCGTAGAGGAGCGAAATTACAAGTCTAGTTATGATAAAAATGAATTTGTATCGCGGTTATTTGTCCTATATGTTTTTGTTTTATTTATTTGTATTTTATTACTCGAATTCTAAAAAATTATGTCATATAACGTACATCACTTAAAATAGAATATTTGTTTTTTATAAGTACATGTAGCACAAATTTGTTTTTGCAGAAGTTCCTGTTCTGATTCCCAATCATGAACACAATACAATGAATGACCAACTTCCGGCATCCCTGCAACAAGTCGAGGCTGACCTTAGGAAGGTCATGGACGATTTCGTCCAGGTCTACGAAAGACTTGACACGGGCGATGATCCAACAAAGAAGCCGAACTACTCATATACCGAACTGGTGTACCTAGCTATCTTGAGATCACCGAACTTTTGTCTTCCCATCACAGAAATCTATAAATACATCAGGAGCAGATTCACATTCTTTCGGGACTCCCACAGAACTCACTGGAAAAACGCCGTAAGACATAGTTTATCGAAGACAAAATGTTTCACAAAAATTGCTGTCGGGAAACGGCACGGTGTTCCGGGTTTGCCGAACCGGTCATCATTTCTCTGGTGTATTCTACCAAACAGTATTGTGAGCTTTGCCAGGGGAGACTATCGACCATCGGTGGACAAGGAAAGTGGCATGAATACCCTTCGGTGGGGTTACTATAAGGTCAACGCTGGTCAGTTCTGGAGCCAAGTGGCCGTATACCTAGAGAAGAAGTTCGAGAGCTTCCGAACGATGGTTTCCAACAGTAGCGATCCAAGACAAATAGTAAAGGTTAGTAAACTATAGCAAAAGTTATCTTAATCTGGGTCGAGCACTAAACATGACAATGTTGAATCCTGAATATGTAATGGAACAAGCGGAAAACGAAAACGAAAAAAAATAAGTGCAACGGATGTAATGTGCGGTCGGTCACCCATCCAACTACTGACCACACTCAACGTTGCTCAATAAGTGAGCGTGTCCCCGGGTTATACCGCATCACTGGAAAAGCTAGCTTGCCAGTAAGTCAGTTTTTCCCCCTCAATTTCCTTAGCTGTTACACTATTCCCCCTCCGAGAAGTTTCGTTCCGAGACTTGGCCTGGGGAATCCCTGGTGTCCTCCCTGTGTACCAATGCACCTTCCCTAACCACCGGGAACTGGCCTTTCATGATCATACAGAGTTACTACGCATAACGTGCGGGCGGTCATCAATCCAACTACTGACCACGCTCGATGCAGAACTAGTGAACGTGTCCCCGGGTTATACCGCATCACTGGAAATCCCCCTCATGTTCCTTAGCTGTTACAAAGAGTAGCCTCCCCTAGTTTTTCATTTTGCCGGAAGTTGCGAACATTCATTAAGTCATGGACTAAGTGGGATGTTCATCTCGATGAAGCCGAATCCCAGGTAGCATAGTGCGCTTTTCCATAGTTGTAAACACCATTCAAACTGTTTTCGGGACCTCTATATTATCGATGAAAAGACGTTTAGCATTTGTATGTTAACTGTCGAAACACATAAACTCCAGTTATGCTAAAAAGATAGCATAAACATCACACTCATTGGTACAGTTTTTTTTCAAAATAATAAATATATCAATATTATCACCGGAAAAAGCCGACAAGATACACCTCTCCACGGGAAAAAATGTGTTGTTTTTTTGTTTTCTATTTCGAAACAAAATGAGTCCCTTAATTGACCAAATTTAAAATAAGTACCTACCTCTTATAACACTTTGAAAATAGACAATTTTACGTATAGAAAAACCAACTGAAGTACAATATAGATTCGTTCAAAAATAACATTTCAAAAGTATTTAACAATCAGTATGGCTAAAAATATTCTCAAGTTAAGGATAATCGGCAAAATACTTTTTTTGAAGATATAAAACACTTTTAGTTAATTTCAATACCGGTATAAGCTGATGATAAGTTTATTTTAATATAGGGTTTTCATTGAATTTCAATAAATTACAAATGCTGCATTCACATACACAGAAAATGCTAATATTCAAAGTTCGCGAACAGGGCCGATTCGGGGCTATTTTAAGCCTAAATTTCACGATATAATCATAACTGCTCCTTATATTTTGAGCTAGTGCAAACAAAGACTTAAACAAATTCTGTATCCAAATATCATTTTGGGTGAGATATATTGACAGATATTGCCCAATGGATTTTGCTCAAATCTTCATCTCAAGCTATTTTGAAAGGCCAGCGTTAAGTCTAAGGTTCTGATTATATTTGGTATTAATTTTGTCGTTTTTGTTTTTTTACTAGGACAGCTGTTTATGATGTGGTCTTTTTCTTATAATCAGTTAAATAAGATAAGCTTTATTTATTTTACAATAATTATGAAACAAGTTTTTACAACTTATACTAATCCCTCTTGTTGGCCCGGATGTTAGCGCGCGGGTGTCTTAATGTGGGAGGAAACCAGAGAAACCCACGTGGTCGGGCAGGTGACCCCAACCTTTTCACGTCCGATCGGGGAATCGTACACCAGCCGCCTTGGTGAAAGGCAAGTGCGCTAACCACTGCGCCACCCGACCGCCCCGTAATCAATCAAACCGCCGTACGAATTCCATACCCCATATAAAGGTTAATATTGCACATACAATGATGTTTAAAGAATTTCTCTGCGTTATTTAGTTTCAGATATGCTCTCTACCGGATCCATCCACGCAATCTGACCTTACCGTGACACCGGAAGTGCTGGAGCACGTGGCTGATAATTCCAGAGACATTCTACCCGCCAATTGCCATGTCGGATACGGATTAGAAACTGACTTCATGTCAAAATTTGAAAAAGCAACAGATACCGGAAATTCATCTACGGACGATGATTTTTCTCCAAAATCGTCTTCAATGTCAACCTCAGTTAACGACAGTGGGCATGAAACACTTGAATCGAGCCCAGAGGAACTCCAGGGCGATTTGTTTTCGTGGAGACAACCAAAAAATAATCTTAATTCCTCGTATCTTTCGTTCATACCAGCCTATCAGAATCCGGGGCGGTTGTCGCCAGAGTTACCCGATCTTGGACACGTGAGTCCATTTGAATTATCTCCCTTGTCAAACCACGGCGCTTCACCCCCACCATCCTTGCTGACGTCAACACAAAATTTACTGCGTGTTTCGCCCGTTCCGATGACGTCACCATCCTATTCAGATTCATACAGTTCGTATTATTCGCCATATCAGTCGAGTCACGTGATGTATCCTGCACTTCATGACCTTGCCTATTCGTATCCGGTTAACTATTATCCGATGCAAGGAAACGACCCAATGATGTCCCTTACACCAGAGTGGTTAGGAAATTGAAAAATGTTTTGAACGGAGGTTGGTCTTCCGGATGTGACGTTTATAGTGCTATTTTTTACACTCACAGAGTGGGTGTATACACTGTACAGTATATTTTGTTATATATTTTACGAAACAATAGAAATTGTATATTTTTACGAAACTACTAATAAGTGCAAGAGTTAGCGATGATCCTCCTTAATTTCAATAAGGACTTGTAATTATCATATATATATTTATTTATTCACTTTTTAATCAGAAAAGTAATATATATTTTATAAAAATATTTAAATATTAATCATGTGGCTGAAATCACGTGGCAATAATTTAAAAAGTCATTCAATCCGTATTCGTTCCTTTCATTTTTATCCGCAATTAACAGATGATTTTAATTGATCTTGCATTTTACGAAACTTGACCATTTTAAAATTGTATATGAAGATATGTTGTTTTTTATGAATATCGAAATTATTAAATGAATAAATCTGTAATATTTGATCGGAATTTGAAAAGGAGTTATTTGTTATGTTATTTATTCACTAAAGTAACGCCGTCACGGTTCATTTAGAGATGACATGTGTATGTCACACTGGTAAGTAATTAAACGCTCGGCTTCCTATCTCCTCTACGAAGGGAAAGGTCTCTGTGGCTCAACCACAGGTTCCGGGTTCGACTCCTGGCAGAGGTATTGAAAAAAGACCTTTCTTATAAAGACAGCTACGTAGGGACATGAGAAATATTTACAAAATACTCAGCATTGTTCTCACTAGTATCGTTTTTGGACTTGAAAACACTCGGGACGGAGTTCGTTCCTGGAGGAAGAGGAGTATGTCACAATGGTATAATATCGGCCACTTACACAGGGACCTGAACATTGGTTGCAGTTATATTTTGACCTAAACTATGGTGTTCAGATTTATTATACACGTTTTAGGGGTTTAGATCAATTTCCGGTAAAAATGCCACCCTGGTCAAAACCCCTTAATCTTGAAAAATTACTCTGAACACATTAGTTTAGATCATAGCATAGCTGTAACCGATTCGAAGGCCCCTGTTGAAGTAGATAAAGTCGTACGGAAGAGTTATTTTACACCTTTATAGGGCGTATATCTATTTTCGGTAAAAGTGGAATGCCATCCGAAATAATCCATAAAACATGTAAAAGTACTCTGAACATCTTAGTTTAGGTCCAAATGTAGCGGTAACCAATTCTCATATCCACGTGGCCGCTTCCTACAGACTCAGCTACGGAGAATTTGTCTTCAGCTACTTCTACAGAACGTTAGACTAATAAAGCATACATGTTTGGTTCTACCACCACGAGCGAAGAAGAGTGAAAAAATAATCTTTGTTACACGTTTATATCGATCAAAAAAATTGATGTAAATCGATGAAATTGACATTTTATACACTGTTACATAACTGGGACTCTCTAAGTGATGACGTCACTTCACAACATTATTCAAGACGGTCACTTTTACGGAAATTCCCGAATGGTTCTAATTGACGTTTGACGTCTGAAAGAAATAGCAACCTATTTGAATATTCTATGTATGTTTTGATTAGGTTGTAGCGCAAAGATATTTATGTATTTTGCAAGTTAGTGACTATTATTATCAATACGGTGTATAGAAAGAACAATATTGTTTCCGAGAAAGTGGATGTTTATCCATTCGGAAACAAAGAAATCAAGAACCTAGAAGAAAAACGCAGAAGGTTAAAAAAAATATCTGGATGTTTTTCATGTACATAAAACAACTAAAACGCGTATTGTATAAAATCCTTACACGTTGATCCGTGCCGTTTGGTTGATTGACATTCTTTGAAATGTTAAGAACATGTATTTTGTTCTCAAATGCAAATTTTTTTTTCAGTTGGCGCACGTAGTAATTATTATACTCGCTAGGTGCCGCTAACATCGCGCCGCCATTACAGAAGTGATCATACTCATAAAGGCGGGGAAGTCGAAAAGCAAAACTAGGTAACATTGATATTTCTATAAAATTCCCTGGAACTTCACTGAATTTGTATTTACGTGTGTAAAGTTGATAATGATGAATTCAATTTTAAAGAGGCCGCTGCAAAATCAATCACCCCAAAGGATGTTAAATCGAACGAGTGACACTGAACCTCGTTTCGAACCATCATACATCGTCGACGTCATCATCTTCTTTAATTAAATGATGTCATGTCAACGTCACAATTTACAACCAATGAAATCACGAGGTTACATTTGTAAAACAAGACTGAACACACGGATAATGCAAGTATTTCGACTTGTTGAACCAATCTGTGAGTGCTATAGAGTATATGCGATAACGTACAACAGATCCTTTACGTAGAAGAGTGACTTTGTGTAGTTAATAGTTGTACCAGTAGAATAGAGTGACATTCACGCATCTTTGAATATATTTGAACGGAACTGTGTTGCATCCCGTCATAAATGCTAAAAAAAATGTGTTTTAAATCAGAAATTTTCCATTTGCATTAACTCCCTTGTCAGACTACGGCTCTCCACCTCCATTATCTTTGCTGACGTCTATCGGCAAACCTCGGGTGACTCCGCTACGCCCCATCACGAGTCAACCGAGGAGTTGCGAGTGTGCTGACGTGAACACAAAATTTACTACGCTTTTCACCAGTTTCGATGACGTCACCATACTATTTAGCTTTCAGTCGAACATACACGAGTTTACATGAAAACTGATACTTGAATTATGTAATTAAATTCATGCAAATTATAAACTACAAATAACTTTTTATTCTTTATTCAATAAATAAATAAATACATTTGTATAATAATTAAATAATTGAGAATAAGCTTCAGATGGTCCGTAAAACGGTCAAGTGTCCTGAAAAGCATAAACAAGTGAATCAGTAAATGGATACATCAACTTTGTGTAATAGGGTTTCATTAAAAACATTCTTATTTCTCAGAATTTCCCGATAATTGTCAGTGAACTAAATGATTTATCAGTGAACAGAATGTTTATCAGTTGAAATGAAATTATTTATCTGACGACAAAATGATTTTTCGGTGAATAAAAACATTTATTATTGAACAAAATTACTTGTCGGAACAAAACGATTCATCATTGAACTAAATTCTTTATCATTGAACTACATGATTTATTATTGAACTATATAATTTATTATTGAACTACATGATTTATTATTGAACTCCATTAATTTATTATTATTGAACTACATGATTTATTATTAAACTCTATAATTTATCATTGAACTACATAATTTATCATTGAACTACATGATTTATTATTGAACTATATAATTTATTATTGAACTACATGATTTATTATTGAACTCCATTAATTTATTATTATTGAACTACATGATTTATTATTAAACTCTATAATTTATCATTGAACTACATGATTTATTATTGAACTACATGATTTATTATTGAACTCTATAATTTATCATTGAACTACATGCTTTATTATTAAACTCTATAATTTATCATTGAACTACATGATCTATTATTGAACTATATGATTTATCATTGAACTATACGATTAATCATTGAACTCTATAATTTATCATTGAACTACATGATTTATTATTGAACTCTATAATTTATCATTGAACTAAATGATTTATCATTGAACTCTATAAGTTATCATTGAACTAAATGAATGATCATTGAACTAAATGGTTTATCATTGAACAATATAATTTATCATTGAACTATATGATTTATCATTGAACTATATGATTTATTATTGAACTATATGATTTATTATTGAACTAAATGATTGATCATTGGACTAAATGATTGATCATTGAACTATATGGTTTATTATTGAACTAAATGATTTATCATTGAAATATATGATTTATCATTTAACTAAATGATTTATTATTGAACTATATGATTTATCATTGATTTTCATGATTTATCATTGAACTTCATGATATATCATTGAACTTTATGGTTTATCATTCAACTATATGGTTTATCATTGAACTAAATGATTTATCATTGAAATATATGCTTTATCATTTAACTAAATGATTTATTATTGAACTATATGATTTATCATTGATTTTCATGATTTATCATTGAACTTCATGATATATCATTGAACTTTATGGTTTATCATTGAACTGAATGAATTATCATTGAACTACATGATTTATCATTGAACTAAATGATTTATCATTTAACTATATGGTTTATCATTGAACTAAATGGTTTATCATTGAACAATATGATTTATCATTGAACTATATGATTTATCATTGAACTAAATGATTGATCATTGAACTAAATGATTTATCATTGAACTATATGGTTTATCATTGAACTAAATGGTTTATCATTGAACAATATGATTTATCATTGAACTATATGATTTATCATTGAACTATATGATTTATTATTAAACTATATGATTTATCATTGAACTAAATGATTGATCATTGAACTAAATGATTTATCATTGAACTATATGGTTTATCATTGAACTAAATGATTTATCATTGAACTAAATGATTGATCATTGAACTAAATGATTTATTGAACTACATGATTTATTATTAAACTATATGATTTATCTTTGAACTAAATGATTGATCATTGAACTAAATTATTTATCATTGAACTATATGATTTATCATTGAATTTCATGACATATCATTGAACTTTATGGTTTATCATTGAACTGAATGAATTATCATTGCACTATATGGTTTATCATTGAACTAAATGATTTATCATTGAACTGAATGAATTATCATTGAACTATATGGTTTATCATTGAACTAAATGATTTATCATTGAACTATATGATTTATCATTGAACTATATGATATATCATTGAACTAATTGTTTTATGACAAAACAAAAATATGTATCAGTAAACGTATTTATTTATCAATATATGTAAATATTTTAGAAAACAAATATGTTTTACCATTGAATAAAACGATTTATTACTAAACAAGATATTTATCATTGAACATTGAACAATGAAATTATTTTTCAGAGAACAAATATGATTTATCAGTGAACAAAATGAATAATAAGTTAACATTGATCAAAAGTCGATATCTTGCAATTTGAAATGATCAAAAACCGGAAGTTGCCCCTACCGGATTTGTTTAGAAGTAAAAGCATCGGCATTTCGCGTCAACACAGTGGTAGTTTCCGCGTCCGCTATGGCAGTTGGCGCTGGAAGGGCAGTCACTCTTGTCGGAACATCCTACAAAAGTTACAAACAAAAATATATGAATATTCAAAACATAGATTAAAATAAAACAATGTTGTGAAAGTTATACACTGAACATGCTCTTATTACCGTACAATCAGCAGATCAATCGGGAACCGTCGGCACTTTCCGTAAACGAGAGTACCGACGGTTCTCGATTGTCAGCAGAGTAAATTGTTCGTCTGGTTAGCTAGTCTCGTTCAACCAGACTCTTGTTGTCTGCGCAAGCTACACCGAAAAATTACAAGTGATCAAGCGTCTGGTTGAACGAGACTACGCCGGTATGAAACGAGGTCCTTCGGAAGTCATAAAAGTTTTTTGGAGGGACTAATGCCCCGAACCTGATCGCCCTGATCAGATGCAAACAACACTTTTTTTCATAATTTGAAATGGTCAATTTTATTTGTGTTTTTCTTTTGTTTTCTTATCTTTTGTAAGTTATAGCAGTCTTAAGGGATACGCGTACCACTGCCAAAACTGTGACTATGCTTCAGAAACAGTTTTCCAGCATGACTTTAGCTGTGCTAAGTCATTTTGATAAGAAAGCCAGACCTTGCGGAACTTTATAAAGCAAAAACAAAACGAAACAAGCAAAATAGAATCAAAAAGACATTTTGTGTGTAAAACTTCAGCGATGCTAGACCAGGTTTCGAACCCTTGAGACAAGATTGTTAAACATGTATACCGTTGCTCTACCGAACTAAGCCACTTGGCCAACGGAAGTGCCCGACCCTCTTGTGCTTCAATAAAATCCAAAACGAAATGAAGGGGAGGTTACTCTATATACAAAAATCACAGTGGAATTCTTCATTGTTTTGTCTGCAATGGTACAGGCATTCTTACGAAGTACTTTTGCGTGTTCATTGCAATATGGTTTACGACACACGACAACTTGTCATCTAGTCCGAATTATTCTGAAGTTTATCGACTTTTTTCATATCGGTCTGTCGTCGATTAACGTCAGAACTCCGGCCCTCTATAATAGGCGGGAAATATGCGGCCCGCCCCCGGAGCGCACTTCAAACTGATATTTAGAAACAAATCGTCACTTTCACACACATGTCGAACATGGATCGAACGATCTATTCTTTATGCACAAGATGAACATACATAACATGCCTCAAACAACCAATACAATCACTAAAAACATATTTTTTCAAACTTACTCTGTTTTACTATAGTTTTTTGATAGTCCCGCCTTCTAATGCCACGTGACTAAAATATCGCCGGCCTACGTCATAACGTTGGGAAATACCTTCGGTAACGCGAGATCTCGGCAAGTCATGTGACATTGCTCATGGCCTAATTTCTATTAAACACATGGGTTGGTATAGAAAACGTTAGAAAATACTTTTCGTAATGATCTTTGAAACATGTTATTGATACCATCTAGTGCATAAAGAATAGATCTTTCGATCCATGTGCGACATGTGTGTGAAAGTGACGATTTGTTTCTAAAATATCAGTTTGAAGTGCGCTCCGGGCGCGGGTCGCAGTCTCCCGCATATTATAGAGGGCCGGAGTTCTGACGTTAATCGACGACAGACCGATATGAAAAAAGTCGATAAAACGTCAGAATAATTCGGACTACTTGTCATCTACCTACCCTACTTAAAAGAAAAAAAATAGGGTGCCATCTTGTAATTTTGTGGTATATGATTGTAATTTTGTAAGGAAAGGGCTTGACATAGGTTGCATTATGGCAATAAAATATGTTTAAATATATACTTATGGTTCAATATAATAGGACGAATAGAATTAATCGTATACTGCTAAGAAATTCCCTAAATTTTGTGAGCAATATGATTCGTGACCATTTTTTATTTTCATAACACAATGTAGTATATTGAGACAAAATGTAACATATGGAGACAAAATGTAGCATATTGAGACAAAATGTATCACAATGAGACAAAATGTAACATATGGAGACAAAATGTATCACAAAGAGACAAAATGTAACATATGGAGACAAAATGTAGCGTAGTGAGACAAAATGTAGCATATTGAGACAAAATGTAGTATATTGAGACACAATGTAGCATATTGAGACAAAATGTAGCATATTGAGACAAAATGTAGCATATTGAGACAAAATGTAGTGTAGTGAGACAAAATGTAGCATATTGAGACAAAATGTAGTATATTGAGACACAATGAAGCGTAGTGAGACAAAATGTAGCATATTGAGACAAAATGTAACATTCTGAGACAAAATGTAACATATTGAGACACAATAAGACAAAATATAACATATGGAGACAAAATGTAACATACTGAGATAAAATGTAGCATATTGAGACAAAATGTAACATACTGAGACAAAATGTAACATATTGAGACAAAATGTAGCATATTGAGACAAAATGTAGCATATTGAGGTAAAATGTAACATATTGAGATAAAATGTAACATACTGAGACAAAATGTAACATATTGAGACAAAATAAGCATATTGAGACAAAATGTAACATATTGAGACAAAATGTAGCATATTGAGACAAAATGTAACATACTGAGACAAAATGTAACATACTGAGACAAAATGTAGCATATTGAGACAAAATGTAACATACTGAGACAAAATGTAGCATATTGAGACAAAATGTAACATATTGAGACAAAATGTAACATATGGAGACAAAATGTAACATATTGAGACAAAATGTAACATATTGAGACAAAATGTAGCATATTGAGACAAAATGTAACATACTGAGACAAAATGTAACATACTGAGACAAAATGTAACATATTGAGACAAAATGTAACATATTGAGACAAAATGTAACATATTGAGATAAAATGTAACATACTGAGACAAAATGTAACATACTGAGACAAAATGTAACATACTGAGACAAAATATAACATATTGACATTCGGTACGAAGAAAACACAACACCACATAAAAAACGTGAAATCCTCTAAGTTATATAGATTTATCTAAACGGTTTACCTGCAAGCCACAAATTTTCAGGTTATATTATAATTACTATTCCGCATTTACTAATTAAATGAATATTTTGTTGTACTTACCGCTACCGGTGTTGGTGGTCTGGGCCTCGCAGTAACATGCACGGTTATGGCAGGTAAGGGCGTGGTTTGGGGCACACATGGTTAGGCCATTTTCACAATCAGAATCACTTCGGCACCCCTCTGAGTTTACGCAGACTGTAACGGAAGATAAACAATGTTACTATTACAATGTAGTGACCTCGACATGTTTTCCTTAAATCCAAATATTCCAAATATAATATCTTTGGTTATACTAATTTATTTTTCGTTGTTTTACTAGTTCACTAATCATTAAAATACGGTATTTTCATTTATCAACGATTTATTCAAGTTAATAATTGGTTTCGTTATAATAAAAATGACCTTAACGGGTTTTTTCATCATCTTTTTATTTATTAAAATTGACTGAAAAGCTGTTTAGAAGATAACTATTGATAGGTTAACATTTCGTTTAATTCTGAATTACTCGGTCGTTCATATTATTTACCATATAAGTTTTCTACCGATTACTTTAAGAGGTATGACCTGTCTGAGCTTGATATTTCCCGAACAGAAGGGGGATATGACATTCAGAGAGATTATATCACCGGCCTAAACCTTTATAAATCGCAGTTTGCAATTATTTTATTCTTTGCATTATGTATCTGTAGCAGTTAAAATGGAAGTTAAAGAAAAGCGAAAAAATAACCCTAAAAATGTATATGTTCAATAATTGTGTCTATTAGGCTACAGTTTTATTTTTTATTTTTACACTTAACCACAGGGAGATGAAAACTTATTCATATTCACATTTCAACAATAGTTTTCAACACGCACGGATTTTTAAATGTTATTGACGTTATTGAGTTATTGACGGTTATGCTTAAATCGGCTAATCATAATGGCTTCGGGTAGAATGAGAGTTAAAAATAAAATTGAGGCTTTTAAGTCGCGTCGCTCCTCTCCTTTGTAATCTTTAAAGGACAGGTATCAGCCTAGCGATTGGTCAGTTTCTTTTTACCTGAGACCAATCAAACAGCTGTCTGCGTGCCTTCAATTTTGCTATGACATATTCCAGGGGTGCAGAGAGCGAAAGTGAGCGTAACCACTAGATATCGAGGATGGCAAAGGTCTAGATTTTTCATGTTCTGTATGGTATCCATATAAAGTCAAGCACATAGAAAAAATAGAAGGGGTACAGAAAAGAGCCACCGAAAAGTTTTCTGGATAACAAAACATAACCTACCAAAAACGACTAAAAAATCTTACACTAGTGTATATACGAGAGCGATTCATGTTCGTTTATCAAACTGTGGAACAAGGTAACGGAGAGAACAGCACCAGAAGACACTCATTTAAGATATATACCCAAAAACAAGCTTTAACATCTAAAAGAAAGAACTATTTTACAGTCAGAGTGGTGCACATTTGGAATAATTTACCATCGGAGGTGGTAAACGCACGACCCCTAAATTCATTTAAGGATAGACAACAGAAATGCTGAAAAAATCAGGAAATATTATATAACTTTAAAGCACCGATTTAAAAGCGGATTTCAAGTTCGGTGCAATACAACGATATAGTCCAGTGGGGAGAACCTGTAGAGGTCCGGTACTTGAAACTAACTCTAAGTAACTCTAAAATGTGATTTCATAGTTGCAAGGCCGTTAAGCAATTACTTATTTATATAAGTTTTTAATAAAAATGCATAAAGACAAACATGCAACAAAATTTTGAGAAATAAATTAACATTCGAATTAAAATAGATAAATTATATAAAATACAAGATGGACGCATAAAACTCCATATTTGTACAAATATGGACACTTACCAGCAACAACAGCCAAAATGGCGAGAGCGATGAAGGTCCTCATGGTGATAGTGTTGGTTGTATTGGTCAACAGCAGGTTAAACAATGGTGGTGGTCAAAATAGCATGGACTTTTATACAGTGGTCAGTTTCAGATTTGATCGAAATGGCACGATATTCGCGACCTATATGGGGTCAAAGCTGATATTATGCACGATTTCGGACCGTGTGACGCAAGCGTCTGTCCAACACTGTAGACAATTCACACTGCATGGCATGACACAAACATTCGTTATTGTCGTAATATTAGATAAGCTGGTTCAGTAAATATTTGTAAAATCTCACATTTGACTCATAGTCTGATAAAATAGTGCGTAATTGTGTGTAGTGAAAGAGGTTAAAAATCTAGAACGATCAAAGATTGAAACAAAATAGGCTGATACTTAGGCAAGTAACGATAAAGAATGGAACCATCTTATAACATGTAAGATCATAAGCTTGAGCTCAAAAATATAATATATAGTCCATCCTCATCCCCCCCCTCTCTCTCTCTCTCTCTCTCTCTCTCTCTCTCTCTCTCTCTCTCT